CTGTCATGATAAATGTGGGGGCTCGTCCGGGATATGAACATGGGACGTCTCGCACCAAAGAAAGAATCATACCTCTAGACCAACTTCTGACACCATATATACAGGGCTGTCAATAGATAGAAATTTTGTTGTGAAATTAAGAATATAACATTTATCTTGTTTAACACATCCCTTCTGTCATCATTTGCTATATCCAGCAAAGTAAAGTGTTATTCACACAAAACTATTTTCTGCAAGCTTTTTTTCAAGGTAAATGTAAAAAAAAGTACTCTTAGAGACTCCAAAAGGACACCAAATAACAAAATTAAATAAGGAGTTAATATATTTCATAACTTTATGCACAACAAAGCCCCCCATAGACCAACTTAATTTGGTCAATTTAAAAACATGTCCCTTCATTCTCCCAGCATCAAATTGGTCTAACAACCCCACCAAGTAGGGTTATATATCCATTATAAGATATATTATAATTTATATTATAAAACATAATGGGCCCTATTTTAACGATCTGAAACGCAAGTGTCAAAGCACGAAGCGTAAGTAGCTTTGTGGGCGGATCCCGGCGGTGGTGGTATTTTCCCGGCGGGATTAATGCCTCTTGCGCCTGGTGCAAATCTAAAAGGGGTTGGTCTGAAGTAGCTTCATTATTCATAGGTGTGGTTTGGGCGTAACGTGAAATAAACAAATCAGAGCGCCATCTAACATACCCTTTAAGAACAGGTGCGCATGTTGCATGACGGATTGTTATTATAACGGCGGGTTTACCAGGCGCGCGCCAGGAGCCTTCACAGCCAATGAGACCGACGTTCTTGTCAGGGCAGTGAAAGACCGAGAAGTGACGTTGTATGGGGATGGGAGAAACCCTCCCACATCAGGCTCGGTTAAAGGCCATGGTGCAGGTTAAACACTACTGTCGATTAATGGGTACATAAAGCAGTTAAGATATGTATATGAAGTTAGAAATATCTCAAAAATGATGTTAAAGTCCCGTTTTTGTAGTTTTTGTTTAGTGACGGTTATTTTTCACGCGACTCGGCGATGACGTCACATGAGGCAGACGCAGCTGCAGGCTGCAGGCAGCGGCGCGCTTCAGAATCGGTTCACAGTAAAGTCTGATGGTTCAAAGCCGAGAAGAGCGATGTTCTCGTCAGGGCTGTAAAAGAAATAGAAGTGACATTGGAGATGGGACAAACCCACCCATAGCTTCGGTTATGCATATCAATTTGGGCAAATGTGTATGCTTTATGCCTATTTTTCCTATCGTCATCATGAACACAACAATGATATACATTATATACATATGTTTCTTGCTACTATTGGGCAAACAGGTCTGATCCTTCAGCACTACAATTAGCCTTAAAAAATTGGGTAATTACATTTTTTTATCTTCAGGTAAACCACAATGATTTCCCTCATGTGTTAATATTTTTCCTTGTTATAATGTATGATTTGCAAAAATAAAAACTGCTGCATCTGTGTTGATGAGAGAATCAGTGTATGCGCGTTGGGCACTCGCTACATTATGGCCAAGCACGCGCGCTTAAAATAGCATTATGAACAACGTGCAACGCGCCACTGACTTTAGACCAGGTTTTTTTCTGGTCAGTGGCGCAATTGTTTTCTGGAAGTGTAAAATAGCACCAAGGAATGTTTGCGCCGAAACACGCCTCGTTTTTGCGCCGATCCGCACAGGGAGCGCAAGTTCATTTCCTAGTTTACCGACGTGTGTCTGTGGAGGGAAAAATCCCGCTTTTGCGCGGGTGGAAAATAAGAATGAGACATGCGTTAGTATATAGTCATTTGCGCCGGGTGCAAGATAGAGCCCAATATATACATTTAAAGATGTTTTCTTTCAAAAATGAAGTAAAATCATTCACTGATTCACCATGGTGAATGTCTGGGTAAGACACCTCTTGCCATTGGGTGGGGTTGTTACACCAATTTGAGGCTGGAGAATGAAGGGACATGTTCTTAAATTGACCAAATTAAGTTTGTGGATGTATCGTTCACGCTCTATGGCAGGCAGGGTGGACATATAATTACTTGATACGTTTAATCTTAGTGGTTTCTAGGATTCCTGCCGGCTGTGTGCAGACGTTTTTTTGTGGACGCTATTTTGTATTGAAGTCTATGGGAAGTCTAGTTTATTCTTCCCTAAAAGTGGGCGTGAATCTGTTCAGAGACATTCTATGACGTTGCGTCGGTCAGTGTTGTAGTACTCGAGACTCGGACTCGTCTCGGACTCGGTCTCGAGACCATATTTTAATGGTCTTGGTCTTGTCATGGACTCGTACTCGAACATTTTTTTTTTTTAGGACTCGGAATTATTCCCGAGTCCACTCGAGTTCAATTAAAAATATGTTTCATGATTATTAATGTATGTTAATAAAATGTTTCTTTAAATTGATTGACACGCCCAGTGATTGGTGATTTTCTAGTGCGCAACTGCGCATGACAAATTGTAATAAAATTACTTTTAACACCACCTATTATGTGGCCTTTTTACCCTAAACTGATCATATTTTTTAAATTCTAAGTAAATTCAGTAAAAAAAAAAAAAAAAAAAGGATTTCTCTAAGTAAATAAAAGTAAATTAGGTAATCAACCCTCACTGGTCTCGGTCTCGACTCGGACTCGACCGTCTCTGGTCTCGGACTCGACTCGAACTCGACTCTCTATGGACTCGGTCTTGACTCGGACTCGACTCTCTCTGGTCTCGGTGTCGACTCGGACTCGAGTGAGGTGGTCTCGACTACAACACTGGCGTCGGTTGTGCGTATACCCAACAGGACCACATGTAAGACGCCACAAAACCCTAAACCAACAGCCTGCACCTGACTGCATGCAGTACGCGGATCCATTCAGAGTTACTAAACACGTGACGAATCAAAACATTATAAACATTACATACACGGTTTGTTTGCACATCTAAATAACAGACTCGCGCATGCTTACTGTACCTTGATTACAATCCTCATCCATCACAAACTTTACTAACGAGACGCTTGTTTGCATAATCCAGCCGAGAAACCTAGTTAGTGTAGCTGATGATGTAATCAGACTGGTTTTCTTTACACTAGCACTGTTTTGGATGGATTGTTTGAATGAATTTGCAGACTGAAACTTTACAGGAGTTTAGCAACTTAAAATGATCTGATCGCAAACAAAAAAGCAAAACCGGGTTACAGCGTCAGAATAGAAATTTGCACGATTGTAGATGCTCTCAACTTCCAAAATCAAGTTTTTAATGTTGTTTATGTGGTGTTTTTAATATACTTTAAGACACACCATGTGTAACTTCTTAAGTCAACAGCATTGCTGAGTATTTTCTGCTTAAAATGGAACCAAAGACAGTTTTAAAAACACGGTTTGAAATCGCTGGTGTTTCTGACGTCACAAACGACCTTGTAACCAATCGGATCAACATGTGATCGCCAACCAGTGGATCTCTGAGCTGAGTGAGTGAGTGGAGGCGGGTCTAATTTGTATATTCATAGAACCATGCATACTAAATGAGGCAAGGGTGTACATTCAAGATATTTTAGGACATGAAGATTTTTTTTCAAGGCAAAAAAACGTTTAAATGTCATTTTGGTGATCAAAGATGAGTTGATATTGACAGGCCTAATACACACATATGCATTTTTTTTCCCTCTAAAGCAGCAATACATGCAACAAAAATGGTATAGTTTCACTTTTCTATCCGTTTCTATGGAAATGATAATCTTTCACTTCTTTAAAGGTGAATCAGAAGTCGGAAATGCTTTAGGAAATCCAGCACACGTCTGAACACACACACACACACACACGCACACAGAGACAGATGAAGTTAGTATCTGCTGAAAGCTCTGGCTGGAATCTGTCTGCATTAATTACCTCACCTCATTGTTCTCCGTCGCTGTGGTAATTACCCGGCGACCTGTTGCCGAGGCCGAGAGCAGCAAAGATAAATCCAGATAATCGTCTGTGATTATTAAGCAGTTGATCTATAACAAACAACATAAACATTGATCAGATCAGCTGATGTGCGACAGATTTAGTGTGTTCTCTCTCTCTCTCTTACACAAAACACAAGATAAATGTGTTTAAATGAGTTTACATGCGAAACACACAATCACGCCTCTTTCTCTTTTTTCAAAGGGAAGAATAGTTTGACTTTATGCAAATGAGCAGTGATGCGAGTAGAAGCGTCGACTAGCAACGTCAGTGACATAGAACGGTGCTTTAGCGTGTGTGTATGTGTCAGGTCACTTGGTGACCTTTGCCCCCTCCCACACATTTTGACAGTTGCCATGGATACGGCATGTGTGGTTGTTGTAGACGCGGATGACCGAGTGAACAAACCCCTCATTAGAGCTCAACCGATGGACACACAAAACACAACGTTCAAAACCATTCAATATAAACTAGAGTTTGGAGTCGGTACGATTGTTCATGTGTTTGAAAGAAGTCTCTTCTGCTCATCAAGGCTGCGTTTATTTGATCAAAAATGTGAAATATTATTACAATTTATAACCGCTGATTCCTATGTGAATATATAGTAAAGCGTAATTTATTCCTGTGATCAAAGCTGAAGTTTCAGCATCATTACTCTCCAGTCTTCAGTGTCACATGATCCTTCACAAATCACTCTAATATGATGATTTGATGCTTATAAACATTTATGATTATTATCATTGTTGAAAACAGTTATTTACATTTTTATTTCAGGATTCTTTGATGAATAGAAAGTTCAAAAGAAAATAATTTATTTGAAACAGAATCTTTTATAAATGTATTTAATGTTATTTTTGATTGCTGAATAAAAGTATACTTTAAAAAAAAAACGGTATGATATAAATTTGGACAGCCACATTAATGTGTCCTCAGGCCACAGTGTGCATGTGAGAATACGTTGATGTGTGTCGTGACTGAGACTGCATTAGCGGAGCATCAATATGACCTGCAGACGTCTCCAGTCAATATGGATATTAATAACCTTCTCTCCGTCTCCGTCGCAGGTAAAGCCTTGACGTTTCTCCTCCTGCAGCCGCCCAGTCCCAAACTGCCCCCCCACAGCACCATCCGTCGCACAGCGATCGATCTGATTGGCCGAGGGTTCACGGTGTGGGAGCCGTACATGGATGTGTCTGCGGTTCTCATGGGTTTGCTGGAGCTGTGCGCCGATGCTGAGAAACAGCTGACCAAGTGAGACTCACAGTAACACTCAGTGCAGTAGAGCTTTCAGGACCCTAAAAATATTTATAACTGCAATAAGCCGTACAAAGCCGTGTTTTACAGTGAACGTAGAACCGCTGAGGAGCATTGTTAGCTACGACGCGAAGCGGAGCGCCTAAAACCACATCAAGGGGCTTCAAGGGGCGTATTGCTTTTATAAAACAGTTACTCCATAAAAATATTCATTTTGTAAATGTTTATAAATGTTTATTTTATTCATCATTTCATTTATTTTATTAATTTCATTTATTTTATCCAGCAACAAAAAACACATTTATTCCTCCACCAAGCAATGTAGTTCTAAAGAGCTTGCTAAGCATCACATGCAGCAACAAAGCATCACAAACGGCGGTTGTGACGGCGCAGTAACACTAATGTAATGCACTCACAGGTGTGTGTTTGTTGAGTAATTTACAACGGCTCAGAACGCGGTTCAACCAATTAGAATCAAGGACCGGAACTATCCGTTTTATAATGTAGTTTATTGCATAATGCGGAATGTCATGGATTTTGGCCAATTATGGATGACTAAATCAAAGTTAGGGCTGACAGTGAATAAATTGAGATATGGTCTAGTGTCTGTGAGTATTAAAGCACAAAAAGGAAATGAGCGGCGCAGTTTACTCAGGCATGCGTCACTACAACCCGCCAAAATAAAAGTTTTGTTCAACTTGAAGAAATTATGACAGAAATATATTACTAGTGATAATAATATTAGTAAAACATTAATATATACAGATAATTTTTCAACCATGTTTTTTTTTTTGACAGTAAACCTCTGCACTTTAAATAAATTAATTTTCATTTGATTAGATTTGAAAAGATTGTGGATAGAAGAAACACATTTGAAGAAATACATTTGTATTAATTCATATTTCCAGAAAGCTAAAATAGACAAAACAGAATTTCTGAAAAATAAAAGAAATAATAAAAATGAAACCTCTGATCATAAAATGGAATTTACTGTATAATGTGGAATGGCCAATTTTAGATGAATAAATCAAAAGTAGGGCTGTGCAGTGAATGAAATTGCGATATATGGAGTATATGTGACAAGATACACTGAAGTCTTTGTGAATGAGCGGCTTTGTTTACTCAGGCACACGCCACTACAACCTGCCAAAGTAAAAGTTTGGCTTAACTTGAAGAAATGATGACAGAAATATATTACTATTGTACAGTAGAATGTATACTGCCATTCAAAAGTTTTTGATTGATTTTTAATGTTTTTAAAGTCTCTTCTGCTCAGCAATGCTGCATTTATTCAATCAAAATTACAGTAAAAACTGTAAAATTGTGAAATATTATTACAGTGTAAATCAGCTGATTCCTATGTGAATATATAGTAAAGTGTAATTTATTCCTGTGATCAAAGCTGAATTTTCAGCATCATTACTCCAGTCTTCAGTGTCACATGATCCTTCACAAATCACTCTTAATATGATGATTTGATGCTTGGAAACATTTATGATTATTATCAGCGTTGAAAACAGTTATTTACATTTTTATTTCAGGATTCTTTTAAAGAGTCGAAACTGTAAATGCTAAATGAGGCAAGGGTGTCGAGTTACATTCAACATATTTTAAAATATGTCATTTTGGGGATCAAAGATGAGTTTTTAGGTATAAAATGATTGACTACAGGGGGACTTTAACGCAGTCCTGAACCGGACGGTTTCCTATGCCCGGTGTTTTCCCCTTGACAGATGATAGCCCAGCTTTAATCTGATTGGAGCCCATTAATATGATGTAATGATGTCTTGGCCTCAGGATGGTGGAGACCTCGAAGCGTAAGAGGAAACCCATTCGTCTGGGCCGTAACCTCCGCGCCTAAACTCCCGCAAACGAGGTTATCGTCCAGCCTGACCCCACCCCCCCTAGCCCGAGCTCACCTCGTTAAGGCGAAACCCGATCCTAAAAAATTTATTATGAGTACAAATATGTCTGCGTGTAGCGCGTGCTAATGCCGTTAGAGCGAAATGGCGCTCATTTTTCAGTCGTGATTACAGCCAGAAGTGAACGTACGGCCTAGACGAGAACAAAACGAGACGCGTATAAAACGTCTTTGTTATTTCTCTTGGACTGGATGATGATGATGTTTCTTCTTTGACCCCCAGACTGAAACAGGGCAATGTTATCTGCTTTTTAAATGGCAAATCTATTTAGCAGCACTGGAGGACCTTTAGTGTGTGAGAGAGAGAGAGAGAGAGAGAGAGAGAGAGAGAGTTTACAGAGAGAGGGAGAGAGAGAGAGGGAGGGAGAGAGAGTCTTTTTCCCTTTAGCTGCTTCGTTTTCCTGTACCATTATGTCACTAATGGAGATTATTTGAAAGCTGCTGATGTTTATTAATGTAAGGAAGTGAATATTTAGGGAATCCATACAAGTGCAGTTAATAATAAGGGTTTGAATTAGAAGAACAGAGACAACGGATGAAATCTGCTAGCTAAATGAAGTGCTTTATAAACTAAATTAACTTAGGGTGAAATACTTAGTGCTGGAGCTACTTTACACATGTCAAATGTTGAATTGATTGTAGTAAGACATGTTTTGTGTGTGTATGTACAGTATGTATAATGCAATATATAGATTAATTGTATAATAAATATTTATAATCAATCGATTTTATTTAAATATATATATATATATTTATTTATATAAATTTACATTTACTCAAATGTATTATACATATGTATGTGTACAGTATATATATATATATGTGTTTGTGTGTAATGCATTATATGTAATATTTGTTTTATATAATATATATATATATATATATATATATATATATGACAATGCACTTATACATTTTAATTATATATTTTATTATATTATTATTATATTATATGTGATATTTTATTTTAGATGTAATTAATCACAAATAATCGAGTGTGTGTGTGTGTGTGTGTGAGAGAGTATGTTTATCTGCTTCTTTGGACTTTCAACAGTATGATTTTTTACACAGAATTTTTTATTTTATTTTTTTTTATAGAAAAAGATGATTTTGATTAGTAAGTACAACTTGATTGGTTGTTACCACCTCAGGTCTAAGGTCAACTAAAGGTCAAAGGCCTCCATTCCCTGACTTTTGATGAAAAGAAGTAAACAATCTAGTATACTATTCATCTGATGTTTATAAATGTGATTTAAATGGATGTGATTTGTCTCTATTACTCGACAAAAGATAGAAGGAATGGATGAACCTGCATCGCTCATATTGCCTCCATCTCTCTCTTTCTCTCCCTGGAGGCTCATATTTTACAGCGAGATCAAAGCGATTGATCAGATATTGGCGAACGAGAGCTCTCGGCTTTACACACTCCTTCATTAACTGGTTTGCTCGGCTGCAGAATCACAAGCATCGCCAGTGCTAAAGCTACTGTGAATCTGGCTAGTTTGTAAAGCTTGTGAACAGAGACCGAAGTCGCTCAGTTTAGGAGAGCACACGGATCTTTCTTTGTTCTTTCGTTCAGTGTCTTTCAAAGCAGAATCTGAACGTCAAGAGGAGCTTTAGTACATTCAAGCTAAACTTTCACAAGCGAGGAGTTTAAGCAGAGGCAATCTTGCCGCCTTTGAACAGCGTTTATCGACACATTTGCTGGACTGAGTTTCCGTGCGGGAAACTGTGATTTCAGGAATAATCCCCCGTCAGTGAAGAGATCCGAGCGCTTTCTCACGATGTCCTTCTCTTCTTTAGAGCTGAGACGTGCGTGTGTCATTACTTTAGCACAAACTTTTAATGTACCCATATAATAGTGTGTGTGTAAAGTATCACAGGTTCTAAAAAAATATTAAGCAGCATAACTGTTTCCAACATTGATAATAATTATAAATGTTTATAAGCACCAAATCATCATATTAGAGTGATTTGTGAAGGATCATGTGACACTGAAGACTGGAGTAATGATGCTGAAAATTCAGTTTTGATCACAGGAATAAATAACACTTTACTATAATCACACAGAAACAGATGATTTACACTGCAATAATATTTCACAATTTTCACTGTAGTCATCATCTATAAAGTATATGTAATTATTTTATATATATATATATATATATATATATATATACGTATATATATATATATATAATATATAATTTTTTTTTCAACATTTTAAAATAATGTTTTTTTTAGGATTTCTGAATTTTTTTTATTTAAATAAAAACGTGCTTGCCTTATAAATGTTCACAGTTTATGTGCATAAATAGTTTTTTATACATTCATAGATCAGTAAAAGTTAAAAAAGTTTAATAAATATAACATTTAACATATATATATATATATATATATATATATATATATATATATATACATCATGGATAAATAATAAAATAATGAATAAAACATTTATTTAGCCCGGTTAGTTCGCACTCTCTCTCTTTCTCTTTCTGTATCTCTCTCTGTCTGTCTGTCTCTCTTTTTCTCTCCTTTTCTCTCTCTCTCTCTCTCTCTCTCTCTCTCTCTCTCTCTCTCTTTCTCTATCTCTCTCTCTGTGTGGCTCTCTCTGGTCAGCAGGGTTTCGGCTCTGTCGTGTGTTTTAGTCACGCGTGTCACAGAGAACATTAAAGTCCCAGCGCACGCTTTGATCACATCATGCGCGAGTCGCTCTGTGTGTCCTGATGCATATTCACACACACACAGAGTGATTTGTTAACATGGGGCCTCTTACAGATGTAAATGTGTGTGTGTGTGTGCTGTGATGTGTGTGAGTGACTCCATTATGATGGGTGTGTAATTGTCTGGCTCTAAATGTGTGTGTTTAGCATCTCCATGGGTCTCCCTCTGAGTCCTGCTGCTGATTCTGCGCGCTCGGCCCGTCACGCTCTCTCTCTGATTGCCACGGCTCGCCCGCCTGCCTTCATCACCACCATCGCACGAGAGGTATCGGTATTACACACATTCATCTCTACATTTATTTGTGTGTTTTAGTGTGTGTGTGTTTGATAGAGAGAGTGTGTGTTTGGTGTGTGTGTGTGTGTGTGTGTAATGTGTAGGTTTAGGGGGTTGGGTTAGTGTGTATGTGTGTGTGTGTGTGTGTGTGATGGGTAGGTTTAGGGGTCTGATTAGTGTTAGGGGATAGAATTTACAGTTGGAAAGTATAAAGATCATTACGTCTCTGAAATGTCCCCATTAAACATGACAACCTAATGTGTGTGTGTGTGTGTGTGTGTGTGTGTTTAGGTTCACAGACACACAGCGATGCAGTCCCAGGGCTCTCAGTCTCAGCAGAACGTTCACACCACAACTCTCGCTCGGGCCAAAACCGAGATCCTGCGGGTCATTGAGATCCTCATCGAGAAGATGCCGTCAGACGTGGTGGATCTGCTGGTGGAGGTGAGTGGCAGCACTCTCTCAGGCCTTCGACACACTCACATGGCCTCCTTCTCTGAGTTTAGGCCTTCCACACACTCACACGGCCTCCTCCTCTATGTTTAGGC